CTTTTTCAAGGTAACAGCCTTCTTCTGATCATGCGGCTAACTATCACTTCCCGAGATGTATTTTATTTACCTTGGAAAAGAATCACCTTCCGAGACCCTTTTATTATGCTAAATTGTTTGCCATTCATACTCGCCGAGATAACTGCCTTAATAAAGTATTCTTTCGATGTCAGTAAGTTTTGCTCATAAAAGGCTTTGGCATAAGTCGCATACGCATTCCGCATGCTTTGGAATCTGAAGACGGAAACTAATGGCCAGCCGGTGCACGATACCACAAGCTTTAAATCCGAAAGGTATCCTTCTTTCAAATCAAATCAATCTTCTGTTGTATCGGTCAATTTAATTATAAATTACTTTAAAGCTGAAGTGCCACAATCAACGGGGTGGTTGCCTTCCTGCATGATCATTATCAGTGAAACGACAGGAAGACGTACACCAGCCGAAAACTGAAGTGAACTAACGCGTTGAGAGACTGACTGGGGGAAGGCTGTCTTGCATCAGTGCTGGGGTCCATTGTGTGTAGACTCTCCAGAATGAAACAATCTGCAGTGGTTTTGTATATATTCTAGGAATATCAAGCCCAGCATTTGACATCATGTTTCGCTTGCACTCAATAAGACTTCTCTACTGTTAAACTAGTGAAGGTAGAATTGGCAGAACCTTGCATTTGCGAACTTTGACGATTTGTTTACTCCAGTGACACCTATGTCAGCAGAATTTTCGTCAGAGGAGTCGTAGACTAAGCTCGCCATCTTGATGGGCCCAACTTCACATACTGACGTTCCTTTCTCGGGCACAGGGCTATGCGTTTCCGGGAGACAGCTTTGAGTACCAAGTACGTTTGCAGCGTCAGCAGGCAGTGGGTGCGTCAGATACGTTATGCGCGTCACTCTCCATCTTGGCCTTTCAGTCACACGTCTGCTGCGACAATGCAATTTGCGCTGCTGTCAAAACTTTACCATTTATCTTTCGTACCTCTTACTTACAAGTCCAGTAACTCAAGCAGCACCTAGAAAAATGACATCTTACACGGCTTGCCAGACTGACTTCTACATCTCGGCATTATTCTGAAAATTAAGAATAATTCATTACTGTAATTGGATAGTTAAATCTCACTTTAGTTTATACTCCACAGATGGTTGCCTTTTCATCTTTGGGATCCTGGAGTCTTTTTTATTTCACAAATTTCCCAATAGCACGAAGCGTCCTCTCACCCTAAAGCAGCTTTAACTGGGCAGAATGGGAAATTGTCTAGTCGAAAGTCAACCGGAATGTCATTTAGCCATACAGCGGCAGGTATGACTGGAACCACCCTAACTGCGCTCGACATTTGTGTACGCGAAAAGGCACTCGGCGGCACCAGACCCCCCGCGGCCGGTTCGTAAATGAAGACAAAGGAACATTTGGCCGGATGAAAAGCACCAAGTGATGGGGTGGAGTCACAGAGAGCTGCGCGTTACTTTGTCCGTGTGGCGGGAGTTGATGTTTTTTGAAAGTGGTTTAAGTTTTTGCAGTTTACAGTCACACCCTCGGCCAAAAAACTAGAACAGTCACAATATTTACAACTGAGGGATGTCAGCAATTTACAGCTGGTACAAAAATATCAAAACAAGCCTTCAGATTTCAGGCGTAAAGGCACCTGGAAGGCTTAAATCTTGCCTACTTTGATGTTGAGCCTAATTTCTTATTTTGTTTTCACTATATGCTAGGAATATGCCAGCTACCTAGCATAAAGGCATCGGGATGCGTAACCCTGAGAAAGCGCTTTAGTTATGCTCACGTTCCTTAGTTAGAACTGATATGTTTCAATTATTTCGCAGGTTGCCACTGCGCCGCACACATAACGTTATCAAATTAGGCTCTGCGATATCCTTACGCCATAGAAACAAGCATCCTACGTTTTATTTCTAAATTTAATTCTCATGATGTGGTCACCGTGTTAATTAGCTGAGTCATCCAGTTTAGTATGTGTGCCACTATTAGGAGATTGAATTTCTAGTGTCCGTGTCTTGCAAAGCAAATTGTCAGGGAAAAGCCTATACTTAGTACTTGCTTGCAAATGGACTAGCAGTTTGGCGTGCGCAGAATAGTTATTCTTAAACCGGAATCGATAAGATAAATGGTTACCGTTAATGGATATGGTCTTATGCCATACAAGAGATGAGTTGATAGACCCCTGACTAACACTACTATCTCGCGACTCTCCTAATCAGACACTGTATATCTCAGTCTTGTCACTAATACTTCAGTTTTGATAGATAAACGACAAATCCGAGGGGATAAAAAAGGGATAGTGTCGCGTATTTTACAGGTATTCCTCGATTAAGCTTGAGACTATCACTGAGGCCTACTTTTGCTATCTAACGGAGTTTAGCTAAACTAAACAGCGGCGCGGTTAACTTGATACTGGGGGGCTCAGATATCGTTGATTGATTTTAATCATTTCGCTGCAGTTCGTGTACCCTGATGCTTACCCTGTGTACACTGTTCAGCTCCTATGGCACAAAATTTCGAACGGAGAAATCACAGTCTGAAGCGCTGGGCCGCGAACTTCTAGTGTGTCTCCAATCGCCTCCCACAGTTGCACATGCAGAATGGACTGGACCTCTCGCCCTCCCTACCAGCAACCATTCGGGCCATGCAACACATTTCCAGTTGGAAATCATCAGCCCCCCGACGC